CAGATCCTAATTGAAAGGGAAGACTGAAAAGGGAAGCTGAGAAACAGAACTGAGCCTTCTAGCTTCTAAGGATCCTCAGGCTGAGATTGCGATGCAAAATGGAAACAAAATGGGAACCACCTCAAACGCCATAGAACAAGATCTCAGAAGATAGACATAATAGTGCAATACAGGCAGGCGGAAGAAGACAAACACTAGGTCCAGAGACCAAGAATAGGCAATCGGCTGTGAATTCAAACTCAAATTATGTTGATTCAAGAATTCACAGTGTCGGTGATTATCCAACATAGTATTTTGTGTTTGCTTTGTTTTACTCTTGGATCATACTGTAAACATTATTTTCTTTCAAATTGTTGATTTTTGTGGCTTCATTCCTGCAGTAAATAATTTGGAGAGCTTGTGCAGTCATGCTGCATTGAGTGGCCTTCTTCAGCACTGCAATAATCTTGTGATCCTGTGCTGTTGATGGAGTTGTGGTGACTGTTATTTCCATCAAAATCCTTTTGTGACGGAGCAGGCAAGATATGTAATAGCTCCCAGTTTGCATTCTATTGTTTTCATAGAATCATAGAATCCCTACAGTGTGGAAACAGGCCCTTCGCCCCACCACGTCCACACCGACCCTCGGAGGATCCCACCCAAACCCATCCCCCTATAACCCACCGAATCTTCACATCCCTGATCCCTATGGGCATATTAACATGGCCAATCCACCGAGCCTGCACATCTTTGGACTGTGGGAGGAAACCGAAGCACCCGGAGGAAACCCACGCAGACACGGGGAGAATTTGCAAACTCCACACCGACAGTCGCCCGAGGGAGGCATTCAACCGGGGACAGCAGCAGCGCTAACCACTGAGCCACCGTGCCGCCCCGAACTTTGTTAGACTAGTGCTACACACTTCATGTCAAGCAAGTGAAATTCATTCTGCTTTGTTGTGAGCAGAGGGAGGCAGGTGGAGTGTGCATGTGGCTTTGCCAAAATAGAGATCTTCCCTTATCCCCTTCTTCCCATTGCCTCCAGTTCTTTCTTACCCACTCACATCGACGATTCTTCTTCACACTTTATGTTATTTCAAAATTTCCAGACACCAGCTGCCTCCCCTTCACCATGGATGTACAATCCTTAACACCTTTATCTGCCATCCACATGGTCTTATGGTTCTCCACATCTTCATAGAAATAAGGCCTGAACCATGTCCACCCACCATCATTCTCCTTCACCTGTCCTCACTTTGACCAACTTCTTTAATTCCTCTTACTTTCTTCAGATCAAAGAGGTTGCCATGGCCACCCGCATGGGCCCCTGTTATGACTGTCTCCTTGTGGGATACGTGGAACATGCCTTGTTCCAATCCTAGTCAGTCCCCCACCCACAACTCTTTCTTGGTATATTGATGACTTTATTGGTGCTGCATTCCTCTCTCGTTTGGAATTGGAATAAATTGTTAATTTCACTTCCAGTTTCCATCCTGCTCTCACTTCACCTTGGTCTTTTTCTGACTGCACCCTTCCCTTCCTTGACATCTGTGTTTCCATTTCTTAAGATAGGCTGATTTGTACCATAACCTGCTGATTCCCATCCCTCCATTTTCTCTATCTCCATTGCACCAGTTGTGATGATACCACTTCTACAGGGGAAGCCTCAGAAATGTCCAATTTCTCCCTTACGCAAGGATTGCCCAGGACCTTGGTTGACAGGGCTGGAAGCTATGTCTGACCCCATCTCCCACACTTCTGCTGTCCCAGAATTTGTGGGTTTCTCTTAAATATCGGGGGAAACAGGCCTTTCTGACTGTTTTGTTTTGCAAATCCAAAAATCACATTTGCATCAGAGTTTCCAGAGCTGCTCCTCTTGTGATGACTCAATCAATATGTCTTTCTTTTAAGAACCAAGAAATAGTTCATCCAACAGTAACTCAGTCAACTTAGAGTCATAGAGTTAGAGAGCTGCATGACTGTGTCATCTTCAGCACAGCCAACCTGTTAACCTGTTCTCTCCTCGTATCAGCTCTTGTTCTCATTTATTCTGTTTCTCTTCTGTCCAACAATACCATCAATAATCACCTTATCAGCCTACCCTTTTCCTATCTCCCTCTTTTTCTGAGCTCAGTCTCCAGCTATCTGCTCACTTCCTCCACCACCGCTGCCCCACCCCATGCCAACCCCAAACCCCCATCCTCGACTTCGGCATAAATATCACTTTGTGCTAACCGTTCTCATGAAGTGTCACCAGGCTCAAAACATTAACTCTGCTTTCTTCCCACAGATGCTGCCAGACCTGATGAGTTTCTCCAGCACTTCCTGTTTGTGTTTCAGATCTCCAGCATCCGCAGTTATTTGTTCTATTTGAGGGATCTTCTGTATGGTGCAGGCCATCACAGCTGTGGACAAGTGATTTTAGAGACATTACATTTAAATGCTTTATTGATTGGTTTCAAGAGTAAAGGACAAATTTCCAGAAGTTTTCCTCAATTTCTTTCCTCAGTTTTTGCCTTCCACAGCAGTTATTCTGTGTGATTAATCACAGTGGTTGATGCAAACATTCAGCAAACGACCCTCACACAGTCAATCCTGAAAGTGTGGGTGCATGCTTGGGATTTTCTGTTCAGCTGAATGATCAGATCCCAGACATGTTTACCCTAAATACACAGGTTATGTACTCATTCTTGAAG